TGAACGGGATTGGTCCTGGCATATCTCCTGACCCCGGACAGCATTATTTAATACAAAATGACGGCCGAAGTTGAATGTAATATCTGTCCAGGCATGTCTGAGATAAAAGTATGAATATACGCACAGAAATGACTCTGTCCAAATAAAACAGTGTAAATATCCACACCTTATCTTACAGGTAATATGGTTTTCAGTTAGCACTCGTTTGTGGAGAAAATATATATTGAGAAATTAGATGCTTACTAAATCACTTACATTGTATACTAAGTGTTATGTCTTCATCTTTACTTCCTTTACCGTTAGTCACTTGACATGTAAATGTTTTACCATTGTCATCTTTGTCGGTTGGGTCAATAGTTAATCTACTGTTGTCACTATTGAGTTGATATCTAATCAGAGCTGGTAGGGGCAGGTTGTCTCTCAGCCAGGTGTAAATCGGTGTGGGAGTACCATTTGATGTACATTTCAATCTGACTAAACTTCCCACATTGGATGGATTACCACCTGTGACAGCTATTGTAGGCTCAGATGGTGGTGTTGCAGCTGTTTAAAAAGTATACAAACAACAACATACACGTAGTTCAATTATATTTTGCCGACTACATTTTAATTCCTATACATTGATCAAGAAAGAACATTCCCGTAAATTTACAAGTTCAAGATGACTGACAACTGACACTGGTTTTCCAGTATATCACAGGGAATACTGTTGCTGTTTGAGCGTACAACAGATTTCAATTAATTTTCTATACAATTCACGTGAAAACTGACAAGTCAAAATTGCCAAATTTAGCTCCCTGAAACATATGGTAAGGTTATAGCATGACGATCGAAAGGTGAAATTATTCACTTGATTGTGCTCCTTACATTTGTAATAATTTGGGGTCTGAAATATTTGTGATGACATATTTATCCGCACAAGCAGCATATTCAAATCTAGATGTATTACATCGTTCTATTTACGTCGTTATCTTTAAAATAATCGAGACAAATAATCGCATAAATGGACTGCCATGTAAAAGTATGTCGATTAGTATATACATGTGGGAAAATTTGGGTAACCGTTCAAGTTACTCGTGATTTTATCACACATCTATATCGCTATATAACGTACATGACTTCGACAGCCCACACCAGTGTTTTAAAAAGCAATTTTAAAATTGTCCACTGTGAACATCGGGTCAGTAAATAAAAACAATACCTTCACATTTGTATATTTTACATTTTGATAGAAACATTTACAGCGAGAATAACAACATACATAGTAGACACATTTTTTGCCGACAAAGCTTCATGACTAATAGTTACTATATACATTCATACCTAATAACTCATTAAAACGAGGTAGTATCTCATTATTGCGACTTGTCTCGTTATTACTACTTAGTAAGTACGTCGTCATAACGAAGTAGTGTATCTTTGCTTTAGCCCTAGTGCACAGCAATCAAACACCAATTATCGTTTTCGTGAGACAAGAACATGACACGAAATACATTGCAAAGTCACTTTGAACACGTATCAACGATGACTTTGTCTCGTATTGCTTCTACATTGTTCATTTTAACATTTATAAACTCACCTGTTACTGTAAGTGTGATTGATTCCTCTTCACTGCCACCTATTGCAGTTATCAGACACCAATATTTGTCAGCATCACTCAACTGTGTATTATTTATAACTAGACTAGCCTGGTCTTGAATACCATGTCTTGTGAATCCAGGCTGATTGTAAATTATTCCACTCTCTTTTAGTATAACTGCAACACTATCCCTTATAGTACTTCCTTTAAACCATGTAGTAGATATGTACACACCAGTTGTAGTATATGTACATTCCAATATTGTTGTTGTGGTCTCGATAGTAGTGATAGGTGAACCAGGTACAGTAATAGTAGTTCCAGCTAGAGTTGCTGTAAGTTTGTTTTTGACAAAAACAGTACATTTCCATATAATTCAACATTGGTACACAATTGGGCTTTCCAACACGTGATTTTGTTTGTTTAGATCAGAAACAAAATAACATATATACAGTATCGTGGAAGAATGCACTTGTGTTATATTTATTTATCAGTCACTTATTCACAGTTATCGCGAAATTCGGTGTGATATTAATATTTAATAATAAAACCGCGGAAACATGAATTTGAACTCATGAAGTCATCGGTGTTTGCGCAGTAAAAACCATTGCCTTTCAAAGCAAATATTTCAAGGAGTAATTGCTCCACAGGCTGTGTTCTGGTATTGCACAAATGGGAATCAAACTGCAAAGCAGAAAATCCCTGGTGAAATACTAAATATTCTAATTAGGTTATTAGCGTTTACTTAGCCAGTATGTATCTCATACTATCATTTCTTGTAATCAGGAGCAGGGCACATTTGCAGAATAAGAAATAGGGGATTACACAACTCAAACACACAAACATACGCTACTCATTGCGACATGAACAACTGGATACCTCACGTGCACTGGTAAGACGAACAGTGCACATACCGAGAATTTTATGTCCCAGTCCGAAATACGATCATGGCACATTGCCGAATGTGAAACAAATCAATGGTTATGTGAATATATTTACTCCTTTATTGTGGACTTGCTTGTTGTTAGTTCAATATAATATTTTACACAATTATATGAAGGCTACGAGTTCAATAAATGTATACTTACTTGTAAGGACAGCTAGTAGAATAACACTTGTAATAAACATGGTGGTTTGTCTGCTGCTATTACAGTTTCCGGGTTCATGAACTTTGACACTTACACGATGGCAGTATAGCTCACTTCACTTTCTATAGTTTCGGACAAAGATATTCGAAATTGTCCATTACAATTTACAATGTAGTTTATGTCAATGAGTATATTTATAGGTATCCGAAAACAATGAGGGCACTCACCGAATTAAATTGTAGATTCATCTGTCAGATGATAAAACGGATATTTGCCAACAATCGTTCGAATTATTCCCAGAGGCACATGCACAAAATGCTGATTTTCATTACCAATTATGCGCTTCGTCAACTGGCTTTCCCAAGATAATGCATCTAAAGCAAACAAGTTACACTGTCTGAGCAAAATTGTCAATATTGCAACTACAGTATGCTTGAGTTGTCTGTGCCCTGTATTGCCCTTTCAATTGTTTGTATTTGTTTCGCCGATTAGGTCGATAAATCCAACATGTCGGTATTTCATACATACAAAATTATGTGTAGGTTTCACTCGTAAGTATAAATTTTTGTACATTTTTAAACGTAAAAT